GAAGTGGTTAGAAAATGGGGGGCAGTGTTTTCTCTTCTGTCCCCACTGACCCAGCAATTACTTTACTGGCCTCAATGATTCACACGACAAGGCAAAACCCTTTCCTCCAGCCCTCTGATAGGGTTCCAAGGTAAATGCATTTAATTCAAGTCCTATCTTGTTAACTTTATGATTGTAAAAGGCAACTGAATGTGATAAAATTCTAATATAAAGACTTGAGAAAAACAATCAATGGCTCCTACGTTCTGTACAGCTGAAGCATGTCGGCCTATTGTTAGGGAGCCACTCGGGCTGGTTACACATTACCTTGACAGGTAAGTTACTGATCTTTTGCAAACTGAGCACAGAGTAGGTACACACCCAGCGACAGGCTCCGCGGTCGGAAGCAGTTTAAAAACTCGACCATCGCTTTGCAGAAGGAAGCCCTTGATACGTTGTGCCTCGCCGCCCCAGTACTCTCACAAACATCCCAGTCGAGCTGTTATTCCGCAACTTCCAAACCTCTTCAGAGAAAACTGACTGCCCTCCTCCTTCCCGGCAGACAGCGGCCGCGGCTCCGCCACAGAAGGACCTTTTCTCCTTTAAGAAGGAGGGTTTTAAAAAGCCACTCAGTCAACGTGACTTATTTAGGAAGTGAAGTTACTCCAGCTACAGTAGTTAATCACCGGATTATGTGAGCTAAACAGCCGAGGCTGTTGACACAAATGTCAGGCTGTGGAGCAGGCAGAAAGGTAAGGCAGTCGGTGTTTTCTTATCTTACTAAAATGCAAAAGGACGTGCAAAGTTGCACCGACGTTTATTAGAAACCTTGATGAAGGAGGTTGTTACGCAACCGACGAGATTAAACATTTATCACAGGTCACTGCAAAAGCGAATACATAATGGGTACAGTATTATGATTCTGATCAGAAGAAATTATGGTTTAACCTCGTATTAAAGGCTAGTTGTAGTTTGGTATATTTCAGAACATTAGAGGGACCTTCGCATGCAGTGAATTGGTTATTTACATGTTACTGGTTAAGAATTGTGGTTCTACATGAAGAGGAAAATCAGCAAATAGTCCTGGTGTGTTTTGCGCTTCTGGTTTAAAACCAATTCAAAAACAAGTGCAGAACAGGAGACGTGTACCATGAGACTCCCCTGATGGTGCTGTTCTGGCGTGCGTCCGCCTCCCGGACGGGCTGGGAAATACTCTGAGATACCGTATGTAAGCGTGAACGTGTTTGTTTTTTTACAGGACATAACCGGTGTCGCTTTGATGGGCAGATGACAGCGCAGTAAGACAAGTGGGGAACCGTGGAAACAGCAGTTAACAATGCCCGTGAGGTCGGGGATGTGGGCTTCAGCCGGTCTCCTGGGGCTGGTCTTGGGGGGCATCCCGCTGCCCCTTGTGCTGTGCGCGTCTCTGGAGCCCGAGGCTGTGCAGGAGCTGTTCACATATGGCTCCCTTACAAACCGCACCAGACCCGGGACTAACTTCCAAGTGCAGCGCAGCCTTACCGCAGGACCGAAAGGAGCCGCAGACGAGGTAAGTCATATGACTTCAGCTCGGTGAAGAGAAGTTTTTTTTTCCCCATTTGAAGCTAAAACTTTGTCTCCTTAATTTTGCGCTTGCTTAAGGCTTTTTGTTTTCTACTGATAAACCAGTGTGTGGTATTGGGGAAGCTTCACGTTTTTAAAAACAAAAATATTTTAACGGGTTGGTCCATCACTTTAATTAGCGACTAGTGCTTAGTCGCACCGCTTTTAATTCGCTACAGTGCTTACTGTGTGCACCCAGTTTCATCCCAAATCAAGAAGGTGTTCCCCTGAGATTATTACTTTAAACTAAAGTTGTTACTGTAAACTAAAAATGTTAGCCTTTATGGCTGCGGTTTCATGATTTCGATTTTAATATGTTTTGGTGTCATTTACGTCTTTTCTAATGTTCGCTCCGAGTATTTGTCCATGTTTCTGTTGGAACAGCGTTACTACTGTGTAAATGGGGAAAAAAAATGTCGAGATTATGAAAGTGTGAAGAGGAAGCTTTTTAGTCTTGCGCAAGCCTGAAAAGCCCTTTGGAAATAAAATCTTAAATGAATGTTAACTTAAAATACTTCCCCAGTTTACTTCCTCTGTTTCAGCTGTGTGGAAACCTTTCACTTTCCTGAGACAGCAGTGGTCATTCCAACAGTCACGCTTGGTAACAGTTTTAGGAAAACATTAAGTAGGGGATCATGTAGAATAAATACGAGAAAAATCTGTTTTCAAGCTTTAAAACCAAAGGCAGGCCTGTGCTACAGGGCAGCAGATCCCTGGTCTACTCAACCAAGGCATTTCAGTGAACTAGCCTAAACCTGCTTCTGGAGTGAGTGTTGACACAAGCTATGAAGAACCTGATTTTGTAAGAATTCGTTGCAGAGAGGAACAGCAAAAAGTCCAAGCGTACATGACCTAAATCATTGCATTTCCTTAAATACCAGTTGTAGGAAGTAGCTGATTAAATAAAGTACCGCAAAGATAAAGATAGAAAGACTGAACATCTTAGTAGCTCTCGTGTTTAGAAGTGAAGTTGTACTGCGCAGTGACAGAAGAGGGAGGTCTTTGCCCTACCCTTGCCCACAGTGTTTTGGTTCCCGGGGGTTATCTGTAGTTGATGCGTTTTAACACCAGAGTGTCACACAGGGTGAAAGCATACCGTTTCTTCAGCCAAAAACCTATTTACAGTACCAGTGACATTTTCCATCATAGTGTCTCTGACAAACGTCTGAAACACGGCCCAGATATGTTTGTGGCTGGATCAGTGGCACAGTGGTTAGCAATGCCTCCTTGCGGTACCGGGGCCCTGGGTTCAGTTCCTGGGGTGCTGTCTGTGTGGAGCTTGCATGTTCTCCTTTTGCGTGTGTGCTGGCAGGTTAATTGGATTCTGTCGGAGTCTGGCCCTGGCGTGAGTGTGTGCGTGTCTGCATGTGTCTCCCCAGTGGTGATGCCCTGGGTGCTTGGTGTCCTGTCCAAGGTGTACCCTGCCGTGTGCCCGTTGCTTGCCAGACTAGACTCCAGATCCCCCGGGCTGGGTGAAGCCGTTAGGATGTGACGGAAATGGAGGAACGTAGCCATTCAATGTATTTGATAAGCTTTGGCATGTGTGATTCTTGAATGTAGAACTGTAAGTTCACAATGATTTACAGGTGTGGTTGCTTAAATTACCTAAATGCAATTTTTAAAAGCCTCGTCTGTGGAATAACCTGAGAAAAAAGGCAAGTGATCCAGTTATGTGTTGAAATGGAACAACTTGCAACCCTCAACACTTACAATTTGACACTTTGGGAACAAGATGGGTTACAGCACACCTTGGAATATTTTGAATCTTTTACACTAGCAGTTTAAAACCTCTGATGGGACTAGCAGGGGCAGTATGAGTGATGTCTCAAAGGTTGAATATTTTCTTCTAACCTCAGGGATGGGTTAGTGTAAGGCTGGTCACTCAAGGCACGTCCTGTTCTGCGTGTGTCTGCAGTGTCGCCTTGTGATGAATCAGTCAGTGGAGCGACGATGCACGTTTGTCCAGAACACCCCAGACTGCAGCCAAGACGACGGCTTCATCGACTACCTGCAGGGGGTCTTCTGCCATTTCCAACCCCAGCTCTTGCCTCTCGCCATCCTGCTCGATGTGAGTGTGCATCTTGCTTCGTTCTTCTACTGACCCAGTCGGGGCTTTTGGAAGGTCACACAGAGGAGAGAGAGGACATTGTCATTGTGCGTCTCTTTTTCTGCAGGTTTTCTGGCTGTTGTTTCTGTTCATGGCCCTGGGAATCACTGCTTCCAAATTGTAAGTCACTATTTCACCTTGCAGAGAAACCCTAGAACTTGCACACTTTCTTGTGCTCTAAATATACAAGTAAAACAAGTGCAATGAAAAACATTTTAAGATCAATCTGTTGCACAGATCCAGTCCTGAAAGGCCACAGTCTGTGCAGGTTTCATTCTGCCTCAGCTCTTAATGACCCACCTGAGCTAACTGCTATCTTCACTGGAACAATATAACACTTCACAGAGGTCTTCAGAGGTTGAGGTTTTAAAGAGATCTAGAAAACCTGCCCAAAGTACTGGAATTGTGCACCAGTGTGCCATCATCATTCATGTAACCTGTGCATACTGTAACTTAAACATTTGTCACTACCTTCCAAAGTTAAATTGGTGGAGGTTTGCAGATTTTGCAGTACTATATGCACTACAGATTAATTCATTTTCTGTACATCTATGTACAGTGTTACATGTTCTTACTCTTCCTGTCGATCTTGCTCTACATATGGAAGGACATCTGTGGGCTCTTAAATCCATCCATCTTCTACCCACTTTGTCCAGTTTAGGGTCATGGGGGAGCAGGAGCCTGGCCTGGCAAGCAACAGGCACAAGGCACGCTACGTCCTGGGTGGGACACCAGTCCATCACAGGGCACACACAGACAGAAACACACACACTCACACCAGGGCCAGTTTTTCCCCAGTATGTTTTGGACTGTGGGAGGAAGCCGGAGCACCTGGAGAAACATGTGCGAACATGCGTGTTCTCCCTACAGAGAGCATCCCAGGTCCAGAATCGAACCCGGAGCCACGGCATGGCGAGACGGCAACAGATGGGGAGGTTGATTAGTTATGGGTCTTCTGTGGAAGTGTGCATCAGTGCAACTTACCGTGCTTTTACCCACAAAGAGTCTTCATATAAATCTAGGCTGGTTCCCCAATCAGGTCCTGGAGCCCACAGTTTTTACAGGTGTCTTTAAATCAGTAGCGATCGTGGAGCTGGAAAAAGCTGTTAAATTGCTTCAGATAAGTTTAGTTGATTGTTAAATAAGGTTGTAATGAAAACCTACGGGACTGGATTTGGGAACCCCTGAACTAGGGGCTGTTTGTAATTTTTTGAACATCATGTTCCAGTTTTGAGATCCTCCTTTACAATTCTCTCAGGTAGTGTTGGAGTCCCAGCTAGTCCTTCCTTTCAACAATTGCAGAGTTTTTTTGCCCTCAGTAAAGCGCAGGGATCTGGCTTCTCATGTGATTGCTTTGAGATTAGCTTACAGAAACATCAACAGGAGGATTGTGACCTTTTGTTCCTCATCTTAGAGTTCTTCAGTGAAACGGGCAGATGGAGAATGTTTTTAGCAATGTTGAGTTTCGGTCAATATATTGCGTACTTGACGTTTTTATGTGTGCATGTGCCTGCTATGAGTTATAAATCTGAACCTTGTTTTAGAAGTAGGATATGTTCTTTTAATTGTATACATTGCTCATTAACATGAAACTGAAGGACATTGATCAGAGCCCAGTTACAGTATTTCTGCAAAACACTGGGTTGCAGCAAAATATGTTTAATTTAAACATTAAACAAACTTACAGCTTAACCTTCCCCGTCTTTTATTTAAAAATTTTAGATAATTCTGAACTATTGTGTTTAGACTTAATCAGTGAGGCAGTATCCATATCCTGTTTGGCATTTCAAGCAAGAATTCTGCAACAAGGCACCTGTTAGCCCAACAGATGTGCTAACACTATTGCCCAATGTGCTCAAGATCTAGTTCTAAAGGAGTGCTGTGTACACAAAGACCCAGCTAGGCAAACACAATTGTGGCAACATAGCACAAATGCTGCCGTTCAGTCCAGTGTTCTGTGGCAATGCTTATCTGGAGATTCCAGGGGATGTTGTCAGACCACCCTCGCAGTGTTGCCACAGCCACGGTGCAGCATTAGACAAGAACCCGTCACTGCAGCAGTTATCTTGGAGAGTTTGTAACATACTGTACACATCATCACCATACTGGAGTAGAACAGCCCCAAGTCACTTCTAGAAATGCAATATAGATCTAAATATAGATCTGTTATAAGTGCTACAACCTCACTATACCGAACCCTGAATCCATGAATCTTTTTCTGTCTTCATACAGCACGTTGGGTAATACAGTTTTGTTTTAATGGCCCTGAAAGCAGAAGTGGAAGCTCCTTTCCCAGAAGTTGAGGCCTCTGCATATCATTTGGTTGTTGAATCAGCGGTCTGATACTCTGCTGTATTTTGTAATTTGGCTGTATTTTGTTTTTTGGTGAAATGCAGGAAATAGCTGTAAGGCCCGACTGTCCTTTTGGCCTTTGAATTGTGATGCAGTAAGTAAAAGAAAATTAGCTGAACACCATTTTTGACAACCAATGTGCCAAAAGGCACCTGGAGGTATATAAAATAGTGATCAGTGTGCTGAAGAACCTTCGTGCCACTCTTTTCTTCTCGGAGTGAAGATGACAAATTCTTTCCTTTGTGCAGTTTGTGATGTTGGCGTGTTTGTTGTATTCCTTTATTGTGTCTGGTACAGTGGCTATCAAAAATATTCACCCTCCCTTGGACTTTTTTACATTATATTGTGTTTATTATCGAACCATGTATTTCACTGGGATTTTTGCCATTGATTACCAGAAAACGCTCAAAGATCTACAGATCATCCTAAATTAAATACAAATATGAAACAGAAAATAATTGATTGCATGAGTATTCACCTCCTTTTACTATGACACACCTAAGGAGGCTCTGGTGCAACCAAATGTCTTTAGAAGCAACGCAGTTTATTGAGTCCACCTGTGTGCAGTTAGGGTGCTTCACATGATTTCAGAATAAATTGTCCAAGGGGGGGTGGCTACTTTAGATATCTGCTGTACTGTAAGTCAAATGAGAAGAGTTCTTATTTACAAAGACAACCTGCAGACCAGTTTCTACAGCCAAGCATTTTGTTGGAGCAAATTGAATGACGTTCTACAGCAGCATCCTGCTGCAATGTGAACCCCGTTCTTGTTCTGCTACTCTTGTTCTGCTCAACAGTACACCTAAAGTGCAGTTAAGGCCATTTAGATGGATGGCTAAACCATTTTCAAGCTGCTTCATCCAGTTCAGGGTTGCGGGGGAGCTGGAGCCTAGACTTGTGAGCTGTGGGTCCACCCTGGATGGGACGCCAGTCATTCACAGGGCACACAGACACAGACAGGAGAACACGGGGAGAAGATAGCAGCACCCCAGGGCCCGAGCTCTGTAAGGCAGCAAGGGTAGCCACTGTGTCACCATGCTCACCTTGATGTCTACGTGGCGATCTGTGTAAAAGAAACATGTATCCAATGAGTAAAACAAGCTCACTTTTTAGTCTGAAAGCTTGTATGACTTCATTGAAAAGCCCTTACGAAAAAAAGTCTACAGTTTCGTGTATCATTGTTAAACCTTTATCGAAGTGTTTCTCCGTACAGTTCAAAAATAACTCAAAGGTTAGCTGCGCTACTTGGTTTGTGATTGTCACTGTGTCTTTGAGTATGTGGTTTTCCCTTGCTGACTTTTTTCATGCCTTGTGAATCTGATATGGTTTTTGGTGACTAACCGCTGCCTCCTTTTCTTAATGACTCGTGTGCTCGCTGTCATGTGTTTGGAAAGCAGGGCTGCCTTGCACATCTACAGCTTCAGAACAACTCCGTTCCTACCTAGACAGGCGCAGTTGTTTGACTCTCCTGTTTAACGATGGCTTTGTCTCCGTTTCTCTCTGCAGTTTCTGTCCAAACCTGTCTGCTATCTCCACCAGCCTCAGACTGACCCACAACGTGGCTGTATCCTTTTCCTGTTCACTGGGCCCTGCACTGACTCATCTCGCACTTGGTATACTTCTGTTACACTAGCTGTGGAAACAACTGTTATGCTAACTGTCATGTGGGCTTATAAAACATGATTCCTATTTCTAATGTCATTTATTTTCAAAACTGCCTTAATTCAGTCACTAGTCATATTTAGACACCTTTAGACCACCAGTGTTGCCTCTCACTTTTCTAAAAGTGTCTGGAAAAAATTGTAGCTGAAGATCTTTATTGAAAAATAATGAGTTTTTATCATTAACACTTCTTGAGTTTATAATAAAGGTGCCTTTTCGTTGCAAACATCACTTTTTAATATGAGAGGAAGTTACAAACATAGTACTGCTTGAATAATTTCCTGCTGTACACTAGTGCTGACTTCATATTGCAGAGTCAAGGGCAATGGATTCTCTTTCTACATCAACATGAGTGTGAACTGCATGTATGGTGCCACACTAATACTGCTTCCCTGCCAGTGAATTACAGTGCTCAGTTTGGCACTGATTGTCCTTGTGCAAGCCAGACAGGTGGGAGTGTTGGGTTTCATGTGCATCTTGGTTCTGTCCTTGACCTGTTTCCATGCAGGGTGTGACCTTCCTTGCATTTGGAAATGGTGCTCCAGATGTGTTCAGTGCAGTGGCTGCTTTCACCCATCCTCGGACTGCAGGCCTGGCTATCGGGGCTCTCTTTGGTGAGATTTGAGGGGGATTTTACACTCTCAAGTGGGAAGGATTCATGTCCTTGGCATTTTCCTATTTAAATTTTTCTGCATGCTTGTCCCTACTTTTTCTGCTTTCTGATTTTATTATACTGGCTTTCTGTAGTATACCGCTGCTGCAGAGAGTACGAGCAGCAATCTGTTTTCATTGCATTGACCCAGGTGCTGGGCAGGAGGCAGATGCGATGGGGAAAAACTGCACAGCAGTGCGCTGACTAGGGCCACGCCCAGCGCTGCATGCAGACGGGTGAAGCTGTGCAGTACTGTGTGCACACAGGGGAGCGGCAGCTGTGCATTCAGGAAGACGTGGAATTTGGGAAGCCAACGCACTCCAAGTCTGTGGTCAGGCAGGCGAGGGTCAGATCCAGGAAACATGGCGAAACGCAGCTCGTAGCCAAAGGGAAAATTCCGAAGAAGCTGTCAAAATAACAAGCAGGCTCAGAGGCCGTCACAAGCCAAGGGGTGGTCTGAGAAGGAAGTTGAGACGAGCAATAACAGTTCAAGTAGAAGAGATAATGGGACACTACAAGCAGGATTAAGAACAGGATGTGAAGTATGATATCGGGGAAATAACAGGAAAAGACATTAAATGAATTTGTATTCAGAAAAAGATTGTGCTGTGCTCACTTCTTCAGCCATCTGAAAGTGTAAACGTTAGTTCCAGGAACAGTTAGCGGAGAGTAAAAAGTCACAGTACCCACAGTTAGTAAAAGAAGTGGATCAAGCCTGAGAGTGTGGCTTCCCAGGGGTCTTCCTCTTACACACGAGGTTGCTTTCCAGGGTAGGACTGGGATACTGGTCCCCTGTTTCTTTCCTAGGGCTGGAAACTCGTTTTCATAACGTGACGCAGTTTATTTCGAACAAACATACTGAAATTGCCCCAAATCGCCTTTTTCTGACCGGCTCCAGTGAACTGGTGTGAGGCCGTCTAGATTCACACCCGATACCGATCTGTCACTCTGCAATAGTCCCTGAGCCTCTTGCCTGCGAGAAGACGAGGAAGGTGAAGAAAGAAAAATAAAGTTAATAAACTTGAAGAGATTCTGAAAGTGTCAGCAGGGTAATTCCATCTTCCACCTCCTCAATAGAAGCAGACTCTTGACTCAGATGGAAGCTGGGGTTTTGGTTCCGTTCCACAGCACGGACTCGGCGTGCTTTGCTCAGTGTCCAGCCTGCGGTCAGGATCAGACACCAGTGATTAGAGCAGACAGCCGTGTAGTGGGTGTGTCTCTTGGCTGACGTGCGCTCCGCCCCCCCAGGTGCTGGGATCTTCGTGACCACTGTGGTGGCCGGCAGTGTGGCGCTGGTCAAGCCCTTCACCGTGGCTTCCCGGCCCTTCCTGCGCGATGTGGTCTTCTACATGGTGGCCGTCTTCTGGACCTTCCTCATCCTCTTCCGGGGCAGAATCTCCCTGGGAGAGTCGCTGGGTGAGCTTGCCCTGCTGGGAGAGCAGCAAGGCTGGGGCGTGAGGCTGGGGACGGTGGATGTTGTGAAGGTTTACTGATCTGTCCTTTGCCTGTGGGAGAAGGAGGTTTGTCCGTCCTTCAGTCTTCTAACTGCTTTATCCAAGCAATGGGCACAAGACCCTGAACGAAATGGCAGTCCATGGCAGGACACACACACACACACACACACACACACACACACACACTGTCAAACCAGGGCCCATATTCCCAGAAGCCAGTTAACCAGCCAGCATGTCTCTGGACTGTGGGAGGAAACTGGAGCACCAGGAGGAAACGCGTAGAGACACGGGAGAACAGACAAACTCCACACAGACCGTACCCCGGGTCCAGAAATCAAACCCAGAGTTGAGAGGCACAACACTAGCCACTGTGCCATCATGCCACCCATAAAAGTATTCAATGAATTATAAATGTGTAAATCCCAAAGGGAAATGTAAATCATTGTATAACTTTTGTATATTATGCTTACTTTGACTTTGGTGGTACCATATGCTTATAGTCCCAATTTTAACACCATAGAAGTTGGTTGGTTGCAACTGACATGCAGTTACAGTATGTTGTGTCAGATGTTCTACTTGCTGCTGTTGGATATCCTATGGAAGCGAGATATTTATTTTCATAGGTTACTGTACCCTTCTTGACTATTTTAGGAAAATAGGACAAGACTGTGGTGTTTCTCAGTAAGGTTTTAGTTTGCCATGATGGGTTGTGTCCTCCTCCAGGTTACCTGAGCTTGTATCTGGTGTACGTCTTCACGGTCATCGTCAGTGCTTACATCTACAACCGGCAGAAACAGCGCCTGAACGGCCCTCTGCAGAACGGCACCCCTGGACCAGGTGAGGCTGAGGAGGCACAGGCCCAGAGGTCCGTCTTGGCAGAGTCCGCTTCCTAGAGATTCAGCGCATGAAGGTTCAAGGCAGGGTCTGCAAAAGATCATGCAATAGAGTTTTAATTAGAGTAAAAGCATTTTACTCAAAGTTGATTTGTAATGTATAGAACTTAAAAATCCGTGGTTATCTCTTTAATTTTAATCAGTCAGTTTTTTCTTTTTGTGAGAGAACATTTTCCGCCTGGTGTTCCCAGATCTGCACAGACTTCCATTCCCGTTGAGAAAAATTATGTCAATCTTTAGCTCTTAACCGTCCCTAAATGGCATAAAAAAAGTGTATAAAGTGTATTTTAATCTGGTTTATTTCTAGTGGCTTCTTTATATTGGTGGATGTTCTCTGATTTAAAAAAAAAACAGAATTGAACCACTTTCACCATAAGAAAGACCATGTCTAAAATGAAATGAATTTTCTTAATCAGCCATCTTTTTAATGTCATTTTTAGATATCCTAATAATTGCATGAGTCTTTCTAAAGCTGGTTAGCCTGTCCAAACAACTGTATCGTGAAAAGACATGTAGCATGAGGATCAGTAACCATCCCATGGGGCCGTGAGGGGGAGTTCATGTGGAGACAGACCTGCTGCAGGTGGCTGAACAGGAAGGCAGGGTACACATGCAGGACATAGCAGACATGGCTGGAGGTTCGAGCCATCTGAGGTGTCCTGTTGTTGTCCATGAGAGAAGATTTCCTCCTCTTTATCCAGTTTGTGCCAGCTCCCATCAAAATGGGAGGCTAACTAGCTTGATGCATCCTGACATTTTGCAGCATTGCAATAAAACAGCCTTCAGTGCAGACGGACATTGACCACTAACGGTTTGTCTCGGCCTTGACAGATCTGGTGTCTGATTCCGATGAAGAGATTCCCAACTTTCTCAATCAGAACATCCAGGACTGTGGTACGTTAACCATGATTCCTGCTGCCAGGAGGCCTGGGCTCCCATGCTGTCTGTGACTGTCCCGGACCCCATGTGCTTTCAGTCTTCAAAGGCAGGAATGTTTGTGCACATCTGGGTCTTTAATTTTCTCCTGACGACAGGAGAAAACCACAATATTGAAAGTTAATCAACATCTATAATTGTTTTAGATAAAGGTCCATGTAATTGTAAGGCTTTGAGAAACCGAGCTTAATATCAACAGCGTTAATATTACATTTATTCCAGCTATAGTTGCTTCTAGACAATGTTGGTGTAAAATCTTTTCTCAAAACGTGGGAAATGGTGACACTTGGTGAGTTTAAACCAGATGTTGATGAGAATTTGGATTTCATAGGTGTCCATTTACATGATAACTTATTGTGTGAGACTGTCTCACTTTGTGCATCCTTGTTCTTTACTGATTTTTTATTCGTCAGAGCTGTATCATCCTGTCCGAAAACAAACTTGTGAAGGTTTTGTCTGTTGGTGAAAGGATGGGCAGTTAGTCCATAGTGTCTCACTGGGTTTTACTGTCTGTTTCCGTACATTTTATTCTTCTTGAATCGTATCGGTCTTCACCAGTGTGAGGCGGGTGATGCTGCGGGCCATGTGTGTGTTGAGGTACGTTTTGTGTCTTTTCAGAGAACGAGTACCAGCCCCTCCTCCTCCCCTACATCGAGTCCACGAGTGACATCCTGCTCTCCTCCCTCAACCCAGTGGACAGCCGCAAGTGGAGGAGGAAGAGGTGGTACTGGAGAGCGGCCAAAGTGTTCAAGGTAGGCCGGGGGTCGCTGGCCATGCCGAGGCCTTACAGAATCGACATAGACATCCTTCACGTTTCCCGATTCTGTTTTCTTCACTTTTGAATATCCTGAGATTTTGCAAAGTCTAGAAAGGTTATGTCTTAGTTTTGAACGCACCTGACTCAAGGAACATGAAGGCTGTATGGTTTTCGTGATTTACAGGTCTTTGATACTGGCTTCCTGTTGAGTGCTGATGCGGTTGTCATTGCCATGTGCCATTTGAAACTTCCTTTGTAATTGGTGGCTCTCCACCTGCTGTACTTCCTCCTCCCCTCCACTAGGTGCCGCTAGAGGTGCTGCTGCTGCTCACCGTGCCAGTGGTGGACCCCGACAAAGAAGACCGCGACTGGAAGCGGCCTCTGAACTGCCTCCACCTCGTCACGGGGCCGCTGGTTTGCGTGCTCACCTTCAAGTCAGGAGAATGTCAGTTCGCTTTCTCGGCTCTGTCCGTCCTCCCCTTCTCCATCACCGCCCCCTGACTCAGTCAGGCTACACTTCATGGGCCAGTGTGTCCTCCTGTTGATTTTCCCCTGTCCTCTAGCACTCGGCAGTTTTGGTGGGGCCCCTGTACAGAAGTATATACCGCTGTGTTCTGTCAGCACTGTGTTTCAGCGTTTGTGCCGCATGTCCCCACCACAGTTAAAGCGGCCACACTAAAATGTGAGGTTGCCCATTTCTTTCAGAAAGGATAAGTGCCGGTGGGATAGACAGTCGCATCGCTTAGTGTTTTCTTTGGGGCCTTTGGTGTAAGGAAAGTGGCTGGTGTTTGTGCCTGCTTCGTTGAATGTTTTTGGATGTACATTTATAGTTTCTGTGACCTGAGAGTCATCGGTTCTAGATGTCTAAATATAAAGTTGTGTGAAGGGATCTGTGTGGTTTGACACCTCCCAGCTGTGTGCGTGTGGGCTGGCCCAGCTGGCTGCTTGACAGAAGCAGCAGGGGTGCGCCTGTGGTGTCTGTCTGCTGCCGCTGGCTGTGTTGACCCTGTGGTGCGTGTTGCCTTGCAGACGGCCTGCACTACATTGAGGGAGAGTTTCCCGTGTGGGCGCTGGTCCTGCTCGTCGGCCTCTTCCTCGCTGCCATCGTCTTCTGCACCACGTCCAACCAGCAGCCCCCCAGATACCACTTCGTAAGGGCGCCTCCACGTGCTGCCGGGCGGCAGGAGTAAAATCGGGCCCATTCCCAGAGCAGTAGATCGAATTCGGCCATGACAGCTCGGGGTGTCTTCCCTAGCTGAGGCTGAATCCGTGCCGGGGGGTGTCAGTCTGCCCCCAGAGGGCTTCGCATTTTCTGCTCGTCTTCCAACCCCAGTCACACTTAACCAACCTAATGAAAACTGCGAGTACTGATGCTCACCGCAGTGTGAAAGAAGAATAACTGGCTGTGATTCCAGACGTCCTGATCCATACATCCCTACACCGCACGCCTGGAATGAGAGGCTGGCGGAAGGGGGCTGATCTTTGATCCTTGTGCCTGCAGCTTTTCTCCCTGCTGGGATTCGTGGTCAGTGCCATGTGGATCAACGCTGCGGCTACTGAAGTGGTCAGCCTGCTGCGCGCCGTGGGAGTGATCTTTAACCTCAGCAACACAGTCCTCGGCCTGACCCTGCTGGCATGGGGCAACAGCATCGGAGGTACCTAACGCCCTCTCCCACCTTCCAAGACTGGGAATGAATTTGGTTGCATTTAGCTTTACACATGTCCATTCATTTCTCTGTGACTCATAAAAACCAGGCTGAAATTGGAACATAAGTGGTTGATATGAATCCAACACAGACGCAAGAGTATACAGTTTATAAGCTGCTTCATTTAAAATAAAACTTCTCATAGCCTGCCAGCAGTGCTGAGTTACTTTCTTCCTTCATGCCAGTAATCAGTTGGGTATGTAGTCCTGTGTCCAGTCTGTCCTGTGGGGTTACCTTTGGTGAGAAACATGGCAGCCAGCCAGTGAGTGGGCCTCTGGTGTCAGCAGGAGGCGAAGGGGCAGGACAGTGTGGCGATTATTCCAGAAATGAGAGTAAATTGGAGAAACTGGTGTTAGACGTGCAGAGGGTGTGGGAGGTGGGGTAAGGCGGTGACGATGGTGTCCATCTGCTTCCACAGATTGCTTCTCGGACATCACCATAGCACACCAGGGGTACCCGCGCATGGCCATCTCTGCCTGCTTCGGAGGGATCATCTTCAGTATCCTTTCATCCGCACTCGCGCTGCTCCCTGGCCATCACCTCCTCCCGGGTCACCCTCCCCTGGGTCTGGACTTGACAGCAGAGCAGGGGAGTGATAGCAGCACCGACCACAGTCACGGGGTTTTTGTAAGGCTGACTCTGATGGTAACGATTAGGCTGCAGGTGCAGGTGCAGGTTCCTGCTGCGACAGTGTTGTTGTATCCCTGAGCAAAGTGCTCATTTCTATGGTCCACCCAGCCCGTACCCATGGGTACCAGCAATGTTGCGAGTACAACCGCAAAGAAGCGTTCTCCCACCCCAAGGGCACACAGGGAATTTGTCTGCTTAATGACGTGGGAACTGTCATCCGCTCCAACCTGCAAAGTGACTTGAGTGTAGACTGATCTCCTGCACGATGGGGGGATTTACTGGATGCCAGCCATTGAAAGCACTTAAACTGCAAAGATCTCGGCTCTTGAGTTCTCCACTACAGAATGCATTAGTGTGGGATGAGGCAGCAGTGAAACATCTAGACTCCTGCCAGGTGAATTCTGGAGATCGGTACTGCCCTCTCCCCAACATCCAAGTGAGTGGGGTGTGTGAGCAGAGCAGAATAGTCCTGCTCCTGGTGTAGCGTTATTTCATGCAACTTCATTCAGCCCTGTGAAGAAGTATGATGCTGGAAAATAAAAAAGAATGTGTGCAGGAGAGATTTAGAAATAGAATTGAAAAGGCATGTTTCTGGGTCTGTGGGGAGTAAGCATGTTCACCCCGTTTTCCTCAGGTGTTCCAGTTTCCTCCTGACTTCCCAAGACACTCCACTTAAGTCACTTGGTGTCTGTAAATAGTCCAGTATGCCTGATGAACTGGTACCTTTCCCAGGACGGAGCCTTTCCATGCACGCTGTTCCTCCTGGAGGGGCTCCCGGTTGCCTTGCCTTACCCAGAAGAAGAGGTTTTCCCATGATGGTTAGATGGCCCATCTCCGCCGGCTGGTCAAGGCTGTGTGGAGAACTTTCTCTTTGGCGTGAACCTTTAACCAGCTTCTCTCAGACATGCTGTTTGGAGTGGGACTGGGCTGTCTGGTCCAGATGCTTCACAATCATCAACCTGTCAAGGTAGGAGAGAGACCCTGCTCTTCCATTCAGTCCAGGCTGAGGATGGAACTGCATTGTTCTACCGACACTGCTAAAATCCGTTTCCTTAAAGGTTCACCTGTTGTTTCCATTTGAACTTTAAATGGTCTGCTGACCAGCTTATCCACCAAAATAAAACAAAATCCAGCAGAACAAAGGGGTTTCTGTTGGAAACTTTGCTAACCCCTCCGGAGTTAGTTCAGATGAATCATTTTACCTGCTGCTCTTCCTTTATACCTAAATGGCAGCAGGTAGTAGTTTAAGTAGAAGTAGTTTTCATGTATAAAATGGATATGAATTAATCAAAGCAAGAATAGGATAGCACTACCCATTAAAACTTTCAACTGTGTTGCAAAACATCCATCTGTTTTCCAACATCCAGTTTGGGGTCTCAGGGGAGCCAGAGCCCATCCTGACAAGCAGCGGGCGCAAGGCTCAGAACCACAGACCCGCGGTCCTGTATCCTGTCCATAGTGTGGTGCAGACAGCCCTGCGGGAGGCAGGTGGCGCTCTCGTGGTGGGTGTGAGTCCCTGACGCCTGTCCCCCTGTGTTCGATTGACAGCTGGAGGCAGAGGGGCTGCTGGGATGGGAGCTGGCCGGGGCGCTGGGCCTCAGCCTGGTGTGTTCCTTCATCCTGGTCCCGCTGCAGTGCTTCCACCTGAGCCGCGTCTACGGCGTCTTCCTGCTGCTCTTCTACGTGGCCTTCCTGCTGGTGGCCCTGCTCACGGAGTTCGGGGAGATCCGCCTGGGCGGCGCCTGACCCGCTCGCCGCCAGTGTCGGACCCCGTCTTCCCAGCAGAAAGACTCGGGGCGCCCCCGTCTTCATGAACTGCAGCAGTCTGGAGAACAAACCTTGCTCTGTTCATCTGGAAACTGTGCCTTTGTTCAAAGGTGAGACGCCTTGTTGTAGGTGAGGCAAATGACACACTATTGTGTTTTTAGTCTAATTATATTAAGTTTATAAGTTTATAAGTATATTAAGTTTGAGGTTGTATTAAATTATTTGATTTTACCCCTTTATTTGTTGGCGTGGAGGTCTGAGTTTTAAACGCACTACAGTCATGAACACTCTGTTTTTCTCTGACAAATGAATTGTCACACTTCAGGCCTCCATCTGTTTTGGGCCTGTACCACCGTTAAGGGCTCTTCTGATAGCTTACTGCGGTAATTGATGACTCATCTTGCAGAATTAATGGTGAGCCAGAATTTTTGCACTGGGTCATGTGTGAGTACTGAGAGCCTTAGAAAGCTGCTTTTAGTTATTTTGAATAAAATTTATTCACGGTTATGACTACAGTCAAAACTCAATTAGGTGTCTGTAGTGTCTTCGTCCATTGTTACAGCTCAGTGCCTTTTATCTGTGGATCCAACTCTGTACGGCACTGTCTCGATTGTGTTGCATTAACACTGGCCCTGAGCGAACTCCAGGGCGAAAATGAATTCATTACTGCAGTTGAGCATTTTCTCAGAACATTCAGCCAGCTCTGTGCGGTATATTGCAGTTGTCACCTGATGTTCAGGTGCTGTTAAAACCATTTGCCTCAAGTCTTGCTTTCTGAGCTTCACTATTCTGTCAGGCTGTAGAGCTGGAAATCCTTTTTGGATGGAGTTACCAGTTACATAAACTAGACTGGAACGTAATTTGGGGAACACTTTATGGACTTCCCTCATTTTGGTTTCTGTATTTCAGGTGCCAATTTCTCTAACACCAGCCACAGACCAAACATTCAGTCACGTCTAACTTGGCACCAATACTAAAGATTCACATACTACAGCAGCTCAGATAATGTGAATATATGAGTCTCTAAAATATCTAAATGTGTCTTGATATGAAGAAATACCCCTACATTACAATTAGAAGAAAATGTTAGAAGTTTTGTTTTTGCATGAAGGCGTTCATTTTATAAAAATGGCATGTTGAATTTAATGGTGACTGAGAGCTTTTGTACATGTGTGGGTTTTCCTGGCTGTCTTCCTTCACGGTCCATCTGAGACTGAGTGTGAGTTGGACTTGGTGATGATCAGAGCTAGTTCAGCACTTCTGATCTCTTTTCTGTTGACAGTGCAGTGCACGTTGGATTCGTCTGTGTTGCAGAGGTTCTGAGGAGCCTGTACAGAACGCAGGGGCGTGAATACTTTTCTACTTGAGCTGCAGACTCGGGCACAAAGCCTTTGAGAGAAGTTGCTCAGAGTTAGCACACCTCGACAGAGCGATCGCAGAGCAGAAGGGTAGGAGCGAGTTGTGTGGGCTGGCTGAGAAACAAGCAGAAAGTGCCTCTAAACCTGCAACTGGCACAACCACACGACTTACAAAATCACCGCAAGGTGTTACAAAAGAACCATTTGCTTTACAGAAATGCTCATCAAACCCATGTGGAAGCATACTGCAGTAAGCACAGTGCTTTGGCCAATTTCCTTACTTTCATTTGCTTTACGTTTTACTGGTTTGTGCCATTTTCTACCATGCCTTTTATTTGCTTGGCAGTGTTTTCAGTAGGGTAAACCACAGCAAACATTTGTAACACTGCATTCAGTATTTGGAGTGAATGAGGGTGCAGATATATTGAGTACGTGTACAGGGTAAAAGGCTGTCTTTGTTTAGTGGAATGGTGCTGACGTCTACAGTAGCTACACCACACGTTTGTTCAGTGCTGTGGTCTTCCTGTGGCTGTACTCATTGCTTCTTGTATGAAGAGTGGTAAAGATGCTGGAAAAGGCTGGCCTCTGCTCACACACGTTCGTCTTGGGTGCGTTTGTGGTGGATTTTTCTTTGCGCTCAGTAGGACTTCAGCTTATAGTATCGATTCATGTATAGTAAGGCACACTGTTATACCCACTGTGCGTTTTACTGTGGTGTTGTGTAGGAACATCACTTTTCTTAAATCCATGCATCCTTATCTAAAACCCTCTGGTTTGGAGTGTCGTCTCGTGTTGTTAAAGAGGAAGATGCTGGCGGACTTTTGGTGTTGTCATTGGTACAGAAAACAACCTTCTGTCAAGGTTTCTTATTTTGAATAAGGTAGGGGTCTGTATCAGCTGAGCTACTGCTCTGTGACTTCCTGTCACAAAGCTAAGTCATGGACTGTGTGCTTGAAAAAGCCCTGCCGGGATATAAGCAGTCACCAGACTGCATGTGAAGGCTTTCTTTCTATGCCTCCCTTCCATGCCTTTAGTTACTCTTTCTTTGGTGGTTTCTCCATTAGATGGTAAGAAATCTTTCATATTCTGTCCTTGCACATTGTGTATAAAGCCAGTTCACTTTTGTCTTCTTTTTGCTGTTCTTCCTAGCAGCTCGACTGGCCTAGCTGGCTTAACTCACTCCTTTCTGGAGTCCAGCTGGAAACGAAAGCCAAGTTTTAAGTTGCATGGTGTGGTCTGAACGTGCTGGGAGACATTCCTCTGAACTCACACACGTTTTGTTTGATGGGGGAAAAAGGGGTTTAATTTCCCCCAAGCAGGGGTGAATTAAAAATAAGATGAGAAGACACATGCCTGGACAAAAAATTATATATTTTTTTACAAAAATGAGTTGCGCAATGAAACTTAAATTTTAAAACATTGATGTAGTTTTATTTTTTTTTAATTGATATACTGTGGCTATCTGTTTTGATCAAGCTAAGAGATCAGAATTGAAAGTTTGACCATTTCTTCACAGGGTTAATGCCTTTTGATTTGTTTTAAATGCTTTTATCCTAGGAGAGATGACGTGAATACCAGAGCTACATGAAGTCATTATTCAGATTATCTTAACAGGGCAGAGTTCAGAATTGAGTATGTGGAAATTATTCTAGAACTCTTCGTGTTATTGTGTACTAGAACAGTATTTAGGTCACTGGGTGTACAGTAGGCGACGGTTGTCCCAAAGAGTTACTGCCTTTTTTCTACATTCTGTTCATGAGGTAGAACAATGAAATCTGAAAACATTCTGCTGCGAATCCTTAACCCTTCACAGAGTGAATCATCTTTCTTTTTCTTATTTTAAGTGTTAATCAGCATTCTTTCAACACAAAATAAACCAAAAATCTGAATAAATACTTGGACCGTGCATCTCTAATGAAATTAGTGCATTTTGCCATTCCAAGATATTTAATCCAGCCATTCTTTGCACTTGTTAATACTAGTTCTGATCCTGTTCAGTTCCTTTTTGGACCTGTGCTTTTCCCTGCTGCCCCATGTAGATTGTAAGTAATGAAATACATATTTCTGTGTTTTTTTTTAAAGGATGTAACATTGCACACTTTTCTACTGCTTGATTTTGTTACCAGATTCACATGCCTAATTTGGTTTTTACCTTTTTGTAATCTCAGGAGCTGAACAGGTATACTGTAGCTATACTCACTGTTCATCTGCAGCACGGGATTTAGAACTGTGTGGAACTATTTGATAACCCCGACTTGGGTTTGTTTGAAGCTGTTGATTGGGATTAAGGTCCTTGTATTGATTTGATTGAGTTAATTGCTGTTTTCAATCAATTGAAATTTGGCATTTTAAATGTTTTGCACAAAATGTGAATTAAATAAAACCTTAAAATATACATTACAAATATTTTATTTGTCTCTTCAGAATAATATATTCCTAGTATGATCTAGAGCATTGTTCAGAGCCTTTCATTGAGTTATTACATGTAGTTTAAGCAAGGAAGAGAAACTGGAATACAGGTTATTCGAGATACAATTACATTTTCCCTCCCAAGTAAAAATTTACAATTTACTTAGGACAAAGAAGATGGTTACAAATGAAGTGGTTTGCTGAAAAAGAGAACTGTTAGTTTCTGAACAGAAAGTCAAGTTCTGGCTCCTGAAACCAGAGCCAGAAGACCGTACACAAACAATGCTGTGCAGAAACCTCTCCTTTGAAAAAGGGAAGCTAGAGGAACGTCTATTAGAAATACCAGTTTCCACTCTGGACTCCCAGAGGGCACTGTGCCAACTACAGTCACACACCAGTTATTTTGTTATAGCTTTGTCTTCTACTGAGTACAATATCTCTAACTTTAGTTCAGTAACTAGGAGCTCAGACCTATATTTTGTTCCTAATTTGTTGTGCACTTATTCATACTAAAAAGCACCAGCAGCTGCACACTTTGCTCCCCTGGTACAGTAAGTAGGGAATTAATTAGACAAGAAATGAAAAGGTGGCAGTTTCACTGTTTCAGAGCCTCAACTCAAATACCAGTCCTTTCATGCCTGTTCAGTGAGGCTTCTTGCAAGAACTACCATTTTACTTGACATAAATATGAATCAAACAGGAGGAGCTGGTTGTGCCCTGGTATTACGACTGACACAGTCTGAAAGGCCCAGTTTTTAAGCAACAGAGTATAGATCTGGTAAAAATTAAAACAGTACACAAAGGTATTTGGTAAAATTTAATACACAAAATTATACAGTTACAGAATAATATTATAAAATTAAAATTGTATTTCTTTAAAACATGAGTACATTATTTTCGTTTAGTAGGATAAATGGTGACAAGTGTCACGGGCTGTTACAAGCTAAATATAACCAGGAGTTTACAGAGGAAATATAGATTAGCAGGGCATTGAATTGACAAGAAGATGATAAGTGCACACCCATTCAGTGCTGCATAAAATTATAAATACAGTAGGTACAAATACTCTGTACGCAATCCAGAACAGCAGGCAGCAAGGCCAGACCATGTTCTGTATCATTCTGAAATCGCCTCTCCCAGCCCAGAACCCTGTTCGAGAGCTGTGAGAATACAGCATGGCTTTGAACAGCCTGCTTCAGCCCTGAAGAGACTGGGGAAGGACAAAGCAGTCAGGTTTTGTATGATAAAACAAGGCCACCCAGAGGTAGCTGGTTTTGAAAAGCTGTCCAAAAGTATAAATATCAAGACTTAAAGAAGGCTGAGTTTTCTGACACCCTCAGTATTGTAAAATAATTTCTCAGGAGTTCTTCTTGAGCATTTAAGAACATTTGCAAAAAGACAAAAGGACTAGAGCTGGCCAGCTGCTAAATGTTTCATAAAAAAAAACAATATGCATGACCACTTTCTGTAGTTGACTCCGTAGTTTAAAAAGGTTTAAAGTAACCGAGAGTATCAGCCACAGCCCAGCAGTGAGCAGAATGAAGAATGAGTTTCTTACAAAACAGCCCTGCCATTCCTGAAAATCTCCAATAAATTACCCCCTCTCCTCTCTCTTGCTTGAGAAATAAAGCTCTTTTCTTTACTCTTCTATCAGCCCATTTAATATTGGGTTCAAGAGAGTTGTTCAAAAAACAATCTCTGCACTAACAACTTGTAGTTATAGGACTTTGTAGAAG